TTTCAGAGTCCTATTAGTTTTCAATTTTTCTTCTAATTTTTACTTTTTGTAAAAATGTAAACTATTTAACGCCGCTTGAGAAGTTCTTAAACAAATTAAAAAATTAATAATTAAAAAAACGAAAAAAATTAAAAGTTAAAACTGAAACAAAGCTAAGGACTACAATCTATTCCCTAATTATAGGTGCATTCCGCCCCCTACCACGGACCCAAAGTCGAGGCTAATAACTTCAAACATCGTATTCCTTTTCATGCTTTTTTTTACTGTATATTTAAAATTAAAGTTGGATCAATATCGTTGCCTTAATTTCCTCTGAAAGGCTGAATCTGAAAGGCTAATTTGGGGATTATAACTTGGAGGCCTTGACTAGGAAACAACTTCTGTTACCAATTTGCAAGACACACTTTTAACCTTTAATATTTTTCGTTTTTTCAATTACATATAAATTTTTTAATTTTTTTAAGAACGTCTGCTTACATTTTTACTGATCTCATGTGTTGTAAAAGTGAGTAAGTGAATTTTTATGAGCCGATTGGCCCAAGGCCACGAACTATCTTTGGCCCTCTCTCCCATAGCTGCCATAAGTCTGGCCATAATACATAGTTGCTTTGACGATTGAAGAGGTAGGTACATTTTGAGTGTTCAAAATTGAATGCCTATGTTCTATAGTTTGTGCTGGAAAAAGTTGGACAAATAAATACAAGAAATAGGTTGAACTTTGAACATAAAAGCACCATGTTCGTCGTCGACTTTCCACGTTTCGTGGAATACACGAGGCAATTTAAGGAGAAAAAGGTTAAGGGGGAAATATGTAAAGTAAGGGAGAAAGGTCTTTTTCGAAAAATAAGAGAAATTTAAGCTTTGGCTTATATAAATTAGCTTACTTTTACACTGTGTTTTTGAATTGTTCCCCTATTGTTTAATTGAAAAGCCCAAAAGTAAACCGAATATAATATATACCTAAATCAAAGCTGTTTTCGTCCGTACCAACTAGAAATTTCCTCATGGGGAACAAGGCGAATTCCTTTAAAGAGCGGGGCGAATTCCTTTAAAGAGCGAGGCGAATTCCTCTTAATGGTACGGCAGCCAGTAAAAAGAGAAAAGTAGTTTGTCCATTTTTTCTGTTTGGTGTTTTGAAATATGGTTGGTTGTCAAAGTATTAGTTTTAAAAAGAAAATTTCTATTTTTCTCTTTGCGCTCTCTTATTTTGGTTTCTCACCGCCACCTATCGTCCAGAAGAAGTAGTAGTTGCTGTATCCTAACACTAGATGGTGCGTAAGTGAATTACATTTTGCCTTCTCCGCAACACATCAGAGACATCTAGCGGATGGAAGCCTCAATCAAAAATGTAATGCGTTAAATTAATCGCATGACGACCTGGTCAAAGTGGGCAGTCTGGCAACGCCGGGAGTTTTGGGAACGTGTGGGTCAGAAAACAGACAAAACGGGGCAACCACCAAAAGTTCAGTTTGCTAATCTGGCAGCTCTCGGTATTCCCAACGCATCTGAAAAAATGGTGTATAAGGCCCTTTTCAAGGAAAACCGATCGAACATACAGTTTCAGTTATTTATACTGAATATCATTTATATTTACTGTTTAATGAACCTACATATATAAATGTACGAGAGGCTTACTTTAGCTAAACTAGGATTTTAATGACGGTCAATACGCTGGTCAAAATTTCAAAACCTTTTTTGTGCTACACACAAAAAAAACGTAATTATTTTCTTACATACAAAAATGGTTACTTTATAAAATTTTAATTCAAATATTTTTTTTAAATTTTTTGGGACATTGGATAAAAATTTAATTAATCAAATAAAATCGTAAAAAACCGATGGGACGACCATGTTATTTTATCTGACATAGGAACAATCGGCCCAATAGTTGAAAAACAAGAAGACCAGAATCTTGGCCAAAAGGTGCATTTTTTATAATATAATTTTTATAATTCATTTTAATAGCTTACATACGGTGCGTATAGCTCCCATAGGAACAATCGGAAAAATAAATTAAAAAAAATTATAACCTTGGTGTTATTTAATTTTTTTGTTAGTTCTTCGACATATATGTAGTAATGGTTAAATATTTCAGAATTACGGTTTTAATTTCATCAAAATCGGACGACTATAGCATATAGCTCCCATAGGATCAATCGTATAGCTGACATAGGAACTATCGAATAATTAAGCTGCAAATCATTATAGCTTCAATGTTTTTAAACATACACGCAAGTAAATCCTAATTTTAACGTTTTCAAGAGTATTTAGTTTTTGAAATAGCTGCAAGGGTATATGAACTTCGGCTTGCCGAAGTTAGCTTGCTTTCTTGTTTTTATTATTTTTATAGTTCTAGTTGGAGTTTTATGTTATAGCCGACCGATTTTAACATTATTAAAACCGTAATTCTGAAATGTTAAGCCAATACTAATTGTTGAAGAATAAAAAAAAAATTAAAAACAAAAAAGTTATAATTTTTTTCTTTTTTCCGATTGTTCCAATGGGAGCTAAATGCTATAGTCGTCCGATCCGACTCGTTCCGACTCGTTCCGACTTATTTACTACCTGCAACTTTTGTGAAAGTTTCATGCACATAGCTTAAAAACTGAGAGACTAGTTTGCGTAGAAACGAACGAACAGAGAGACCGACGGATATACTTTATAGGATCGGAAATGTCTGCTTTACTGCGTTGTAAACTTCTGACTGAAATTATAATATGATCTGCACGAATATAAAAATTATAACTTTGCTGTTTTTCAATTGATCTAAAAATGCTTCGATAAATAGTAATAGTTTATTTTTTCAGAACTACGGTTTTAATTTTATTAACGGAATTATATAGCTGCCATAGGTGCGATCGAATAATTCTTCGGAATAGTTTTACAGCATTACAGGCACAAAAATCGAAATAAAGTTGTTGTAAAGATTATTTCAATTTATCAAAAGCTGCAAGGGTATATTCGCTTCGGCTTGCCAAATTATGCTTTCGTTTTCGTTTTTGCTAAATAACTTTTGAAAATGATCTTGCAGATACATATGCCTTTTAACGAAAGATAAGAAATTCTATAAAGTGTACAAAATAGAAAAAAATAAATTAAATGTTGTTTTTGTAATTTCAATACTATTGTATTTAGCTCATCTATGTAAGGGTAGCGTTATTAGCATTTGACACGATATTTTTAACGTCTTACATACAGCACTTGCGTGGAGCTTTAGTTTAGCCAATTCTATCAGCGATTATAACCAAATCAAATATCGGCTTCGGTTACTGTTGCGGTTACATCCAATATGACTAATTCGATTTCGGTAAATATTTTTTGTTTCCGTTACAGTTCAGTACCGCAACCAAAACAAATTTCGTTTACCGGTATTGTACCGGTTTAAGTTAAACAACATTTTTTATTTCAATCATTAGTACTTTATAATATGTTCGTGAATACATACATAAGTAAAAAAATACATAAAATAAAAAATATTATAACTTTGCTGTTTTTTATTTTTTTTTAGTTCTTCAACATAAAGTAATGGTTAAATATATCAGAATTATGGATGAAATTTCATCAAAATCGGACAACTATAGCATATAGCTCCTATAAAAAAAATTATAACTTTGCTGTTTTTTTTTTTTTTTAAATTCATTTAGACTTATTAATAATTTTACATTTTTAGAATTATGCTTTAATTTTACTGAAATCGGAAAACGATATCATATAGCTGTCATAGGAATTATCGAATAATTAAGCTGCAAATCATCATAACTTCAATGTTTTTAAACATATACGCAAGTAAATCATAATTTTAATGTTTTCAATAATATTTAATTTTTGCAATAGCTGCAAGGGTGTATGAACTTCGGCTTGCCGAAGTTTGCTTTCTTTCTTGTTTTGCATTAAATCGCTTTTGTTTTTGTTCTGCAGAATGTCTGAAATTTTTAGGAATTCGGTTTATTTTAGATGTACAAGTACTACTTATGTTTGTAAAACTAATTATTATTTACTTACCGCCACTTCTTTTTCACACAAAGTACACTGTCTTGAATTTTGTATTTTTTCGAACTTGTAAAATTAACGTTACTGGTTTGATTTCGACTGGCATTTTTATTTGAGCGACAGGGTATAAAAATAGAAAAAAACTTGTAAAAAAATATCCCGACATGGGATTCGAACTCTTGCTCCTAAGATTTCTGGCCATGCGTCTAAGCCGCTAGTTTACCATTAAGCAGTCATGTTAACGGCTGCTTTTCTATTTTTCAGGGCTGCTTTATTCTTGATTCAAAGGCGATATTGCCTTTAAAAACCTATTTTATGGTGTTGCTTTACAACTGAGAGACTAGTTCGCATAGAAACGGACAGACGGACGGACAGACGAACGGACAGACGGACATGGCTGGATCGGAGAGTCGATGCTGATCATGAATGTAAATACTTTATGTCTCCTCCACTGCGTTGCACACTCCTGACTGAATTTAAAATACAAGGGTATACAAATTTGCCAAAGAAAATATATAACATATATGTTATGATACAGCTTCAATCATAAAAAAACAACAAAACAGTGGATTTTCTAATTTAAAATTGATGGTTCACAACTTCGCTTTAAATTGTATTAAAATGGAGAACGGTATCATATAGCTGCCATAGGAACAATCCCGAAAAAAATGAAAAAACAAACTTTTGTAGAGTTATTCCATATTTTAAATTTACGGCTCAAATTTTATTCAAATCGGTCGACTATATAAATGTATATAAATATATCTCCCATGGAAACAGTTTTGATTCCGAATTAAAACAATCGGAATATTAGAAAAAATTAGAAATGTTTTGCTTCTTAATTTTTTTGTTAATTCTTTTGAGCACGGTAAGGGTTTAATATTTCGGAATCAAGCTTTTAATGTTATTAAAATCGGAAAACGTCTTCATACAGCTGCCACACGAACAATCTAGTAGTTGAGCTGAAAGTCATCATAGCTTCAATGTTTTAAAACACGTACGCATGTAATTCGAAATTAAGATGTTTTGAAGAATATTTTATTTTTTTTACAATAGCTGCAAGGGTATAGGCATACAAATAATTCTTTTAAAAAAAAATTCAATTTTAAAATAGTAGTTGCTGCCTTTCTCATTAGCTATTTTAGCGATAAACGAAGATATAATCATAATCAATAACATTATATACGAGGACTCAGAAGGTCTAATTCGATGAACTTCTTTGAGCACCCACCGCTGGATCAAATATGACTTTTATCTGGGCCCACAAAGAGCAGCAAAATTTCGAGTAAACCCAGCCTGTGAACCCCAACTTGTATGTATGGTCGTCGTGGGTGCAGACCCTGCGGGAACGAGTGACTAATCCGCAGCCCGACTTCTTCGCAGAAGCGGTCCAATCTCACAAACTTCTTTTCCCGGTTCCGTCTGACGCCTCCGAAAGCCGCGCCAAAAGCCGGGCCAAAAGACACGGAGACGGAGACGCAAAGGCTGCCGACCAATCAAAGGATGCCGCCTACGTCGCTGGCTGAGAAGTCTAATGGTTTTGCTTGAGTTAGGTGTTGTGCCGCTGCTGCGAGTGTGTGTGTGTGTGTGCGAGTGTGTGTTGCACATGGGGGTGAAATAACACATACCTGCGTGTGTGTGCGCCAAATTAAATATGTACTGGAAAACAATAATGAGGCAAATCTCGCGACTTGTGCTTATGTACATATTTATTTATACGACGCTCTAAGGAGGAAGCCAAGAACGCTGGTAAGCACTTTTATGACGTGAGAATAAAGTAAAATAGCGGCTGACTGTACTTCTTAATCTGGCGAAAATGAATTATACATTTTTGTGAGAATGCTGGAGTTCTGTACGCAATACTCTTATAATGGAAAGAACACTGTACCACCATGACAAGCTACAAATATCTGATATTTAACAGCTAACATATATTTTTACTTTGTTAATTTGTTGACAATTAATTGCTGCTATCATCTAGGTTGTTTATTTCGAGTTTTTGATTACTTTTTGAATCGATTTGTGGTTTTTACGGGTATATGATACCCTGCTGCATTATCAAACCCTTTTTTATACCCTTGCAGAGGGTATTATAATTTCAGTCAGAAGTTTGCAACGCAGTGAAGAAGACATTTCCAACCATATAATATATATCCATTTACTCTTGATCAGCATCACTAGGAGAGTCTATCTAGCCATGTCCGTCTGTCCGTCCAAACTAGTCTCTCGGTTATAGAGCTATCTGCATGAAACTTTCCCAAAAGTTGACGGAACGAGCCGGATCGGACGACTATGGCATATAGCTCCCATAGGAGCCATCGGAAAAACAAATGAAAAACAAGAAAGGAAGCAAACTTCGGCAAGCCAAAGTCTATATACCCTTGCAGCTATTGGGGAAATGAAATATTCTTGAAAACATTAAAATTAGCATAAAAGCATGGAAGATACGATGATTTGCAGCTCAATTATTCGATAGTTCCTATGGCAGCTATATGATAACGTTTTCCGATTTCAGTAAAATTAAAATTATAATTCTGAACTGCCAAATTATTAATAAGTCCAAAAGAATTAAAAAATAAAATACAAAATAGGAAAGTTACATTTAAAAAACATTTTGTGTATATATTTTATTGATTCCATGGGAGTTATATGATATAGTCGTCTGATTTTGATGAAATTTGAACCGTAATTCAAAAATACTTAACCATTACTATATGTCGAAAAACTGCAAAAACAATTAAAAAACAGTAGACTTATAATTTCGTTCGATTGTTCCTATGGGAGCTATTGCTATAGTCGTCCGATCCGGCTCGTCCCGACTTTTATACTACCTGCAATAGAAAGACAACTTTTGGGAAAGTTTCATGTAGATAGCTTCAGCCTAATTTTTCGTTTTTTTTATTACCCTGAATTCCGATTTTAATTAAATTTAAAAAGAACTAACAAAAAAATTGAAAAGCATCAAAGTTCTATTTTATATTTTACCTGCAATAAAACTTACTTATGGGACTTAAACTTAAACTTAAAACTTACTTTTGGGAAAATTTCATGCAGATAGATTTAAAACTAAAGTCGGCTAGATAGACTCGCCTTTGCAATCGTCACGCTGCTTTGAAATGGTTAAGTAACAAGGATGATTTTATTGTGCAGCTTTGTGCCGATTACGAAAAAAAATGAATAAAAATAAAGTTATTTTTTTGGTAAAATAAAAAATAGTCGTTACAAAATGTCACGTTTATTTTACCTCGTCAAGAAGTTTTTTTTGTTTGATAAGATGAATATTTTGAAATTTAATCCTCATTAGAACATAATCTTACATTTATTGCTTTTTTAAAACGTTGACTCGAAACTATAGAAAAGGAGCATGAAAATGCAATACTCAAGAAAACTGATAAATAAATAAACCATTAATAAAAATCTAAATATATTCAAATTAAAACTAAAACCATAATTTTGAAATATTTAACCATTACTATATCTTCAAGAATCTTAATAAAATTTTTTTATTTTCATGATTGTTCCAATGCTATACCGTAAGTCTAAATACACATTTGATAAAATTTCAATTTCCATCTGAGTCTTTTTATTTGTTACTGAATTAAAAAAAGCCGCATTAACTTACGAAATAAAAATAAATTAAAGTAATATAAAAAGTATCGATAAGATAGCACTAACAAATTCTATATTTTGGCGAATCTAAAAAAAGAAAAACAAGAAAGGAAACAAACTTAATAAAAATTACTATATCGAAGAACTAAAAAGAAATTAAAAAACATTAAAGTTATAATTTGTATTTTAAATGTTTCCCGATTATCCGTTTATATGGGAGCAATATGATATAGACGTCCGATCCGACTCGTTCCGACTTAGAAACTACCTTCACTAAAAAGACAACTTTTGGAAAAGTTTCATGCCGATAGCTTTAAAACTAAGACACAAACGGACGGACAGACAGATAACGATGGCTAGATCGACTCTCCTAATGTTGCTGATCAAGAACATATATTCTTTATAGGGGCTTTGCTTCACTGCGTTGCAAACTTCTGGCTGAAATTACAACAGCCTGTGTACGTGTAAACGAATAACCAAAATGGTCGTTAATGTAATAGTTAGGCAATAACAATTTTGTTGGTTTGTTCAAGTCAGTTGAAACTTTAGTTTCAGATGGTATTCTTAAAAAAATTTAATAAATAAAGTTTTTAATAATATTGAAAAATGTTAAGTTGCTAAGTTTCCCTTGCAATTGACATTTTGTTATATTTTGTGTACCTAGCTGTACTTATTTAATACAAACTAATTCCGCCCCAAAAAATATATAAAATCTCACCAGAAAACCGTTGAAGTTATGCCTTTGGGTCAGTATATACAAGTATATATATGTGTATATATGTTTCTTTGATCGTCCTAACCCAGCAGATACCACGCGTGTTTATGATGACGAATCGGAGTCGGCAGTGAGTTTTCGGTCGCCTTGAACACATGCGAGTGAAAGTAAACTAAACTAGCGTACCAACTTTCTTCGACGGGCAAGACTCGCTAAGAATAACGCGGAAAACAGTGTTCGCCAATGGCAGGCAATCGCTAAGAAGACGTGTGCCTCTGCGCTCGGTTCCCATTGGCCTGCCTGCCTTTCTGTGTCTATTCGCCTAGCCTGACGTCCTGAAGTCCTGACGTCCTGAAGTCCTGACGTCACGACCCTTTCCCCACGCAATAGTTTTTGTTTTTATAATGCTCAGTGAATATTCCGCGACTTACTTCCAAACCGAAACTTTTGGGGATGTTCTGCTTTTTCCAGATTCATCAGCTCAGGAAAATGTCTTTGGAAGTTGGGCGACTTGATTAATGCGCATTTGTAAAAAGAGGGAAAAAAGCCTGTTTTAGGACACATTTACCTCAAGAAAATCGGACAACTTGGCCCAAACCAGTTAGTCCAGAAAATGTTCTCACAGCTTTAAATCCTCTTCTTGGGTGCAAAAAGACAATTAAACCCAGAAATACTGACCGCTGTCGGCAGTGAAGACGCCTGACCGACCAACCCCACCCTTTGCCTTCGCCTTTGCGACCTGAGTTCCCACGGAAGTTGCTCGGACAGCACTGCGATTTTGAATTTCTTGGCAATCGCCTTCTGGTTCAAGCAAAGGCGGAACAACTGAGATGTAAAAGAAGAGCTAAACAGTCTGACTTAAACGTAGGCTAAAGTATGTACTTACCCACAAAAAAAAAGTAGAACGAGTTAAGTTAATACGGATGTACTTGAGAATCGGCCGAATAATTCTTAAAATTTTTAGGACGAACGTGTACAGAATGAGTACGGGTCCTACTTGATAATAATATTTTAAAAGGTTTTTTTTAATACATAGAGAAAACGATATTTTTCGCTTTTACACTGCTTACAGTGTTTGCAAATAGTACCAGAATTATATTAAAACTATTAATTTATCAAAAAACAAGAACTATTAATTCAAAACAAGAGATCCCACGCTCAAATCCCAGACAAAGTCATAATTTTTTTTTTTTTTTGTCGGTGTTATGTTTTTTTTTTTTGCAAACGTGCTGCTTTTATTTAAATTTTTACCTAGTTGACCTTAAAAGTATAGCTAATAAAAGCTCTTTGATTGCAAACAAGAAAACCAAACAAGTTTGCTTTTCTGTTTCCTTTACATATCAGTTATCATTCCTAATTTCATAAGGAATTAAAGAAAAAAGAAAAAAAAAAGAGAAAAAGAAAAAAACGTAAAAAAAAAAAAACTTTTATACTTGCATTCAGAATTTTTCATACTCAAACCAATATCTTTCCCACTTTCTTCATGCACTTTTGAGTACTTGGACTGATGAAATAGTTTAATAGTATTGTGAAAGAAAATTGAAATAATTTGAAAAATTTTTATTTTAAAAGAAAATTTAATTTATTGTACCTTGTGTATCAGCGTTTATTAAATAAAAAATAAATATTTATTTTTCTCGATTTTAAAAGAGTTAATATAATATATAAGTTAATGTGACAAAATTATTTAAAATATTATATTAGAAATGAAATGTTATTCGTTTTTAAAGGTATCTAGTTTTTTAAGAAATAAATTTAATTTAGAAATTATAAATTTATTTAATTAATTAAATAAATTAAATAATTTATAATTTTAATATTTTATGGGATAAGCTATAAAATAAATTTTTAAAAATAATAAATAAATTTAATAAATATATGCTTAGAATTAGCAATTATTAAAAATTTTGTTATAAATTATTTTATAAATTAAATTATTTATTAAATTTTAATTATTTATTAAAATATTAATTTTAATTGTTAAAATTAAGTAATAATGATAAAATTAGTATATTATAATGTTAAAATAAATTTTAATGAAAAGTTTAAGTAAAGAATTCGGCAAAAATAATGTTCGCCTGTTTAACAAAAACATGTCTTTTTGAATTAAATATAAAGTCTAACCTGCCCACTGAAAATTTTAAATGGCCGCAGTATTTTGACTGTGCAAAGGTAGCATAATCATTAGTCTTTTAATTGAAGGCTGGAATGAATGGTTGGACGAAATATTAACTGTTTCATTTAAATTTTTTATAGAATTTTATTTTTTAGTCAAAAAGCTAAAATATATTTAAAAGACGAGAAGACCCTATAAATCTTTATATTTTATTTATTTTAATTATAAAGATTAATTTGATTTTAATAAATTAAAATATTTTATTGGGGTGATATTAAAATTTAAAAAACTTTTAATTTTTAAAAACATTAATTTATGAATAATTGATCCATTAATAATGATT